GCGGTTTCGCGTCTTAACCACTTGAGCCACCGCAGCTCCTAATCCATGCATTAAATGGGACTAAACAAAATTTCAGAGCGTGCATTAAAAGAACGCAGAGTTGAGCTGATGCACTCTCCGTTTTAGAAAAGGAAACGTAATTTTGAGCTTGGTTCTTCAACAGAACGAGTGTGCCTTGAAAGCTCAGGCTTTCTAGTCTTTAGATGCAAACACCACTGTGCCGAAGGCGTTCGAACCGGGTTGCTGATATGTCCTCGTGGAAAGAGCGTATCAGCTCATAGCAGATCTAGATTAGCCAGCCTGTTGGAAAACGTCTTTTGATCATCTCTCATGACGAACCTTCAATCTCCAGCTGCAGACGGTTTTGAGGGGGTCATCCAGGCAACGTGGCTATGCTGGGGACCCTGTTTCCCCCTCCCTCCTTGGACTGGACCTCCTGATGGCACTGGTATTTCTGGCCACTGTGTGACACAGAGTGTTGGACTGGATGGGCCTTTGGCCTGATCCAACATTGGCGTCTCTTATGTTCTTATGTTCTTATGAAGGCTTCAAGGGTGGGTTTCTGCTCTGATTGCAGGGACCTTTCTCTGTGCGCTGGGCTTTCTTTCGGCCGTCACGGTCAGCGTGCTGGACAGAGTTGGCATGAAGCAGCTCGGCTTGGATGGCGTTATCCAGCAGGAGTCCAAGAAAGTGGTACGTGGGACTGACGGTGCGGCCGATGACTTCTGCTTGGTTTTGATGGGTGGCGTAACTCCGATATCACTAGGATCCGCTGCAGCTGGAGAGGAAGCCAGCGTTGTTTGCCTAAAGTCTCTGAACTGGAGCTGGCTGCTTCCCCTTATCGAAATAATAAACACGATATTCACATGTACTTATAGCTAAATATATTTGCTTTTTAGACACAACATCAACTCTACTGTTTGGTGTAGTGGTTAAGAGCACAGACTCTAATCTGGGAGAACCGGGTTTGATTCCCCACTCCTCCACTTGCACCTGCTGATGTGACCTCGGGTCAGTCACAAGCTCTGGCACAGCTGTCCTTGAGAAAGAGCAGTTTGTGTCAGAGTTCTCTCAGCCCCACCCACCTCACAGGGTGTCTGTTGTGGGGAAGGGAAAGGAGTTTGTAAGCCGCTCTGAGACTCCAAGTGAAGGGCGGGGTATAAATCCAATCTC